TATATATATATACATATATGTATATACATAGATACATATACATATATGTATATGTGTATATATGTATATATGTGTATATGTATATATGTATATATATGTGTATATGTATATAGAGTATATATGTGTATATATATATAAATAAAATAAATTGTAATCTGTAATAATGTAATCTCCAGGAAGAAGTATGTTTCTGCATAGTTTACAAAAGACCACATAAAAAAAGACGATGTCTCTTTTGAAATTCTTTTATTTCTTCTACTCACATTTACAGTCACAGTTGTTTCAAATCTCCACAGCACTGTCAGCACCAGCACAAAATCACACCGTCACCAGAACTGTTGGCAAATCTGCTACAGACGATAATGAGGCTGCTGTCACTGGATGTGATTATCTGGTGTTCAAGAGAAAAAAAAGATCCATTTTACTGCCACACCTGTCGTCATCACCAGAGCTCTCACAGTAAAAGTACGTCCCAGTACAGCTATTGAAGAGGCAGTACTCCAAATAGAGGCAGTCCCAGAGAGTATACAGTATTCATGAGAAATGAATGGATCCAAAAATACACACGTTAAAATGATCAGATATAGTTTTGCTGGTTTCTCCATATAAGTAAAAAAAAAGTATTGTAAAGTTAAAAACAATCACACAAAAAAAAAGCACGATAAGAGACGGTTAACATGAGTGGACCGACTGGAGGCTGGTTAGAAGTGACATCCTTTCACTTTGTAAATGTTAAGGCTTTAAACTGGTCTGAACTCTGTTGATACCGAATGGCCACGTCCGTTTCTTATGTATGGTTCGTGATGTGACCTCAGCAGCAGTTGGATGAACGGTGTTGGTGACAGCAGCCTGAACGTTACATGAACAAATCAACAGTTGAACTCTCTTCCTTTCCCTAAACAGACATTTGTTGTTGTACTAAATTCTATATAAAAAAAACAAGTCTTAAACTCAACACGAAAAATAAAAAAAATGCTGGCACTTTGACGTATTTGGCTGTTTTTGGCATTTTTGCACTTCAGTTTCTCTCATTTGCGCAGCAGCAGTGACCACGGGCTGCAGCCGTCGCTTGACCAGCGAACGGAGAATGTTTAAGGTGCTACTTGTGTCATCGTCTCAGTAGCATCTGAACCACTGTTCTCGCAAGAGATCTTAAAAACATTAGCCATTAGCCAGTGATGCCTCCACTGTCCTAGGAGGAAAAAAAGAAGGTCTTACAGCACCAAACAGTAACCCACAGTGTAACCAGATCCCAATTTATAGGTAGTGGGGCCAGGGTTATGTTTGAGTGTCATATTAGCAGCATTTTTTTATAATAATCACAGGAGGCGAAACACATTCACTCTGTGACTTGAAAACATTAATCCAGAACAAAATCCTGGACAGTTATTCTACGTTAGTCTCCAGTGTTTTCATGTAGTTGGACAAATTAATGGATTGTACAACCCCATTTTTTAGCAGGACTTTTTATGTCAAACGTATCGGCTCCTTGATCTCAGGTAGCTTGAGTTTGAAGACTCTTCCCCAATGAGTGATTGGATACTCATTTTTTTAAAAACTCTCTGGAGAGATGGTTTGAAAAAAAAAAAAACTTCTGCTAGTTGGACAGGACTTTTTCAGAACCAGCAGCTCTTTGTTTTTTGTTTTTTTAAAGGTCAATACCAACACAATAGGACGTTATCTTATGTGATTGCACGTGAGGATCTAATTCTTTAGAATTGCATCTACAGCATATAAAATAACTAGGGATGTCTTGATATGAACTTTTTGCCGATATGTAGATATTGTCCAAAAACTTAACTTCCACCAACGGCGCGCAGGTGGAAGTTAGGTGTTGCCTGCTCACTGAGGTGAAGGGTTAATATCGGTCGGCCCTAAACGTCTGTTCGCCCCCTACCCTGTAATTCAGAGAGAAACCAAACTTAAAAAAAAAAAACGATCTGACAGGCATCTTTGCATAAATAACAGATCGATATTGTGTGAGTAAGAGGAGAAAAAAAAAAGGAGAATATGCCATGAAAAAAAAAATAAGAGTGTTATTTCAAAATCTCAACACGTTTAAATACAGAGTATAGTTTCCAGAGGTCGACCAGAACTGTCTGTTCAGCACCATGGATAGTTATATGTGCATGCTTGGAGGCAGATGGGTTCCTCCTGGTCCAGGATGTGTTCCAGCTCTGGCTGTGCCTGTTGAGCTCTGCGTCGCTCTCTCTCTCTCTCTCTCTCTCTCTCCCTCTCTCTCTCTCTCTCCCTCTCTCTCTCTCTCTCTCTCTCTCTCGCTCTTCTCTAGTTTGACGTCAGACGTCATGGCTGCTTTGGCCGGTCCAGCCTCAGTAGAGGATCTGCTGTGTCTGAGTCGCTGTGGTGTTTTCTCTCTCGTGGGGATTCGACTTTGCTGCAGCGTGTCCAGGAGGGGGAGCGCATGTAGCCACCTCTGGGCAGCAATGGCTGCTGGGAACCTGGACATCACAGACAAATGGACAAAAGCATTAATGACTGCACATCAGAAATATACAATTTTTAAAAAAAACATATTTTTCGAGACAGACTTGGTTTGGGGAAGAAAAATGATTGCCGTAATAAATTCTGCTCTTAACTACCACTTGGTGGCGTCTTACATAGAAAGATGACGACAACCAAAGCAGCAGAAGCTTTTTTTTTTCTTATTTATAGTTTGAACTGCTCATCTCCAGAGGCACATCATCTTCCTCACCCTCACGTTAAAGTGGGAGAGGAAGGCAGGGTGAGGACAGGACGTATTGATCTGAGAAGATTGATGGCGTCTCCACTGAGGTCTAATAAGTAGTACAGTGTGGAGGACTCTCTGTCATCGACCTGCTGAAAACAACTGCTGCTGCTGCTGCTGCTGCTGCTGCTGCTTTTACGGCTGCATCAATACTCTGTCCAGCAGTTAAACACTTTCTGTTTACAATGAAGCATAACAGTAGGACTGCAAATCGATAAGTACAAGGCCAGTCAGTGTGTATATATATATATATGTATATACACGTATATATATAAAAAATGCATACACATATACTGTATATCAGTATCAGTATTGGTGCATCGATATGCAGATTTATTTGTTTCATTTTGCATTATAATAAAATGAGAAGGAAAACAAAATGGCGTTTATCAGTTTTTGACCAACTTGCACAACCACAACTATTTAATTCAAATTGCATTGCAGCAAAAAATAAAAGTGCTGACACAGACATTTACCTCTGAAAGAAATCAAACATCTGACCTTGGCGTGCAGCCAGCAGTTACCAACTTTTACTCCATAAATAATTAACTAAATATGATGAATAAAACATGTCTGTGAGTTGTGTCATTATCTGATAACAGTCACTCTGGACCGACCTTTTAGGGAAAAAAAATCTAAAGTACTGGTAATAAAAAAAAAAATCTGCTCCCAAATGTTGAATCAGATCTGTGTGGCCTGCTTGTTTCTGTCATCTGCATTTGAGGCAGACGTTGAAGTAGAAATTAAATCAGGAAAAATTAGACGAAAAGTAGAAATAGAGAAATTAAATCAGGAAAAATGAGACGGGAGATTTTGAGAGCTGTTATAAAAGTCAAAACTAAATCATATTAAAATACTTCCAGGTTGACGAATGTCGAAACTAAATCATATTAAAATACTTCCAGGAGAAGATTTCTTTCTCAGAACAAAGGAACTCTGTTCTATTTTTGTATGTGGTACATGCAGGTGAAAATATACATTTAACAAACGGTGTCAAAAGAGAAGCTGCATTGCTGTAATTAAAAACAAAAAAAACCAAAAAAAAAAAAAAAAAACCATGGAGTCATGGCCCAGCTGGTGGGTCGACTGCTGACCTACGCAGTGTCTCCAGATTCGTATTCCTTCCGCGTTTCTTTATATCTGCTGTTGCTCACTTTGACCATTAGGTGTCAGTATTTATTTCTCAATGGACCCATGAATCTTGACCTCCGTGTAATCACAGGTGCTCATTTAGAGTCAGGGAGATTTGTGTGTGTGTGTGTGTGTGTGTGTGTGTGTGTGTATGTGTGTGAGACAGAGACAGAGGTCATCATCTGTATGCAGGAGGACGACTCACAAATCATAAATAAAACATGGGCGAGGTATTTATTTTTACATCCACTGACACCGGTGCTAATCTTTATTCTTTACCTGCAGCACTGGGACACTGGCAGAGTAAACAGTTCCACTGACAGTCAGTACGTTTGTGTGTTGTTACTTTAATGTGAGGTCCAAACAGCCGCGTCAGTGTGACAGGGTCTGTCTTTGTTTTTTTAATATGTTTATCAGGGTCTCACCTGCTGGAAACTCGTTGTGGTTTTCTTCATCAGAGTCGGCGAACACTTCAGCCAGTTCCTGGTCAGACATGTCAGTCAGCTCCGTCAGGTCCAGCAGGTCAAAGTGCACCTCGAGTGACGACACGCTGCTCAGAGGCTCTGGAGCGAAGAGAAGGAGACATTCTCTTTATTTACAGTTCCGTACATCACCAAGAAAAAGGTAATTACTTAAATAAAAAAAATTAAAAAAAATTAAAAAATAGTTAGAATTAGTTTAACTGTCATTTAAAAGTCATTCGAGATGAAGCTAGAAAAAATCCAACATTTAGCAAAAAACCCAAAAGATGGCTAAACATTCGTAAGTTGATCATAAAAATGAACCAAAATTTAGATTTTAAAAATCATCTCGGACATGTTCCACAATGAAACAGGAGTAAAAATGAAAATAATTCATTGAAATTGATTGAAATTGACAATTATTATAACTAAAGTAAAAAAAAAAAATCATGGGTTGTAAGTAGGTTGTTGAGGTCACAGGGTCAGACGTGGGACGTCTGTGACTGTGGAGATAAACCACGTGATCCGAGGCCTGGAGACAGGACTTAGTTTCACAGCTGGGCGTCTTTTACTCTCTGTTTTCTTGGTGACATTTTTTTTTTATCACGTTTTTCTCAGGTTTTTCCCGCAGCCGTCTACACCTACGTCTTAGTGTTGGTTACACCGTACTTCACCAGTCAGTCAGATGTTCACGGACGCTCCAGGGTTAAGTGGAATTTATTCAAAGG